GTCAAAAGTGACTGTCGTTACACGTTGTTTCTCTCAGGAAGGTTACATGCCAGCCTCGATTCCATGTTGTTGAGTGAATCTCCTGGCTCGCCTCCAACCACACACGCGGTTAGTTTGAGACGTGAGCAAACTCTTCCTAACCTAACCTTCAAATAAGATCAACAAACGTAAGAAGTACCACGAAAATTTAACTTGTTGATCGAGGTGAAAAGATCCGAAGGAGAAAAGAAAACTCAGCAATCAAGCGAGTAACCTTTCTTCTCCAATTTGTTTTAATACCCATCAAAAATATTCAGAAAGAATTTTTGCATCACAACAAATTCCGAATTGAAAACGCAACACAAAGATTCGATCCACAGTAAGGGAGATTTTGCATCGTGCCTTTTGCAGTTAGATATAGCTCTTTGGCATACAAAGCTCTGCTTTCATGTCCAAATTGAGCACTGTGGGATGAGTCATCGCCGCTAGCATTGCGCATAGCTCACTAGGCTCTTCTAGTTTGAGCACTCTGGCATGGCTTAGACAATACCACAAGTGTGGGATCGTTTGGAGATTCATATTGGTTCTCCCCCATCCGAGCATCAGCACTGCTAGGATGGAGGAGAACCGAGAGGGTCGCCCCAAACGACCCAACATGTGGTATCGCCATGCCAGAGTGCTCAAACTAGAATAAACTAGTGAGCATATATACATGTATCTATATGATGTGTGGTAGTCAGAAAAAAAAAAACAACTACATATACACCCTACAGACCTGTTTCGTGGTTGCAGAGAAAATATTTAAATATAGATGTTTAGCTTTGATAAGATTGGTCTTTTTTACAGTTGCTCCTATTTGTTTTATTTTATTTATTTATCTTTTTCAATGTATAAAATGCATAGTTCGATCTTTCGACATCAGTAGAGTAGCGACTAATATGCTTGTAGGAGTGATAAAAGTATGATTGACTGATTTGTAAAAAAACTAATTTTAATCGAAACATAAAATGAAAACTAATGCAGGTCAAAACGTGTCATCCATCATTATCCAAACATGCAAAGTGACTATTTTTTGTGGTTTAAATAAAAAATAACGAAAACAATTAAACAAAGTTATGTTTCTTTTACAGGCACGTAATTGCTAGGGTCTTTTCATTTCGACAATTCTAGTTCTGAAAAGTCAGCGATATATACCTCAGGCCGTAGCCAGCATGAGGCAAGACAAGGCAACTGCCTCGTCATTTGATTTTGGCCTTTTTTGGCACCAGTATCGCTCAGCAATGAAAAGTGAACTTCTACACTTGCCCAAGATTGTCTTTTCTGAAGAAAAATGCCACGGAAAACGCTTGAAAGAGCATTTTGAGCCTTTAGATTTAAAAACTTTTTATGGGGCATGCCAGACCCAAAACTTGCCTCGTCTTGTTCTGAAGTCTGGCTACGGCCATGAGATGATGTTGAATGATGCTATCAAAACGTCGGTCAACATAAGTTTTAGCATTCTTGAAATATACTGAAACTTTTAATTCTCACACGCAAATGTTTTTCATGCAGTTTCTACAGGCAATCATTTCTGTTGAATCTCTTAAATTATATACGAGCAAACGACGTAACGTCTCACGGTCTCTCCAATTTTTACACGCATGATCAGTTCGACAAATATCGTGGGCTGCATTTTAGATGAAATAAAGAACTTTATTTGTTAGAATGGAGAGATTATTTTTGTATTGGTCTACAAAGGGTGGTGGGTCGGAATATTAATTTTGTCCGGTTCCGAGATTGCTGAACGGAGTAATCTCAGATATATTTCCACGAATTCCAGCCATAAGTGAAATACTCTTCATGCAGTTTATAACTTCTTGAATACAAATAGGCAATTTTCCCCACGAAATTAATTAAACGCACGTTTTACAAAGAAGAGAAATTTCCGTTCAAAACTGAGGGTTGTCATGGTGATAGCAAAATCGATTTCAAAGTTTCGTGCTGATTATAACACAGAAGAAGTAAGAAAAAGGATCAATCTTTGTTCTAAACAATGTGACGTACGCTTTCGCAACACCAAATTTCATGGATGAGTGAAGCGCGAAGGTCAGTTTATGTCGCATAATGACAGACGCAGTCAGTGAAATTTACCTGACAACTTGAGTTTTAACAGTCTTGTTTTGAAAGTTACTGATGTAAGTTCGCATAAATTTAACTAGCCATCTGTCTTTACTTAATATTTGTGGCCCCACGAGTGCTGTTTATACCATGCTCAAACTACCGTATTGTCTTTCCCGGACATGTTTGAGTTTCTTTAATTTTAGGTCTGCTTCTTTTTATCTTTTTTTAAATTTTTCAACTGGTTCTGAATTGAAATGTTTAAAATCTAATGGCTTACGTTAAACGAACAGCAACCCGCGCACATCGGCAAAATTATATTTTCATTCTGAGCTGTTAAAATAATCAGAGAAAAATTATTTGACTTGTTTTTTTTTTTTTTTTCTTTTTGTCGTCGAGTCTTGATTCAACGTTTGATCTAGGCCTGACAGTGATTACATCTGAGTTTGAGTTCAAGACTTGAAATATTTGTTTTGAATTGTTCGGTTTTTCCCCGAAAACGGGAAATGTCACACAAATCGTCCGATATTGGATCCATGAATTGATCAAGACCTCCACAGAGTGTGTTATTTTTCCTTGTGTAATACTGTGGTAAATATTTGCGTCTTGACCATGCACAAATCTTCCGCGTCAGTTCTAAACAAAAATATGACGTAGCTGATCATGGGTGATAGTTCGGTTGCCCCATATCTTATTAGGACGTAAAAAAAGATTTGCAATCTGGAAATTTTCGTTTCTCTTCCTCGTGAAGTTTTCAGCAATTCTTTTGGCTTTGATATTTGAAATTTTCAGTGACTCGCTGATCAAATTTCGTCGACTTTGGTGAGCAAATGATCTAGGGGTTTGTTTGATCCGTGACCACGGTGACCATCAAAGTCGAAGGCTGTGGATTGCGCACAATTTTATCAGCCAATCAACATCCCTCACTTTAAGTACATTTTTGGAGAACCAATCAGCTACGATGTTTTAGTTAGCACAAGCACAAACCACTTCTTCGCCAAAGTTTCTCACGTTTCAGGAAGTACTATGCCACAATGAGGGCGCAAATTCATGTCGAAGAGGCTTGTCTTTGCAAGAATACGTTATTCTTGGAGATACAGTGACCTCTACTATCAATTTAGATTCGTTATTCCTGGAGATGACTGGTCGTGTGTCCCCTGCTCTCGGCGCGATGTCTAACTCGCAAGAGATGCAAAACATGGGATCTCGAGGATCCGACTGTGAGTAAATAATATTGAAGTTGTTTTAAATTATCGCGCTTTTGCCTTGTTTTAAAATCTCTCATCGCTCACTATCACACGAAAACCTTCATGTGATGCTCCCTCTTAAGCTTAATTTGTGTTTTCTCCATTGAAGTCTGTACAATTTTTTGAAGATCCATACGAAGGCAGTGAAGATGGTGCCGAGACACAGAGGTCGATAAATAGAAGTTTTCGGCAGCTTCCCAGCCGCAGCGCTCAGAGATCCTTGCATAACGCAAGCACTAGAAGACGGGGCTCTATTAGTAGAAGATCCATGAGACCAACTCAAGATGTTGAGGTTATAAACATCGAGGATTATATCGATGGGGAAGACGACATGGCAAGCCCGAAAGAACTTGCTCAACCGATGTCTGCGAAACGACGCTACAAGTAAGCGATTTATAGTAGATTTCGGTCCACAGGGAAGTTTTTTGTTGAATATTGCAGGTAAGATTTGATGGCTTTCGTCTGACAGTAAGGGATATTAATGAACATGCATAATTTAAAATTTCTCGCTCGGCGTCGCTGCGGTGAGCTCAGAAGTAAACGAATGATATACGTAACGTTTTGTTTTGCCTTTTCGGATAAAAAAAAAGAGAGGTTTACGTTTTAACAGTTACTGATCTTCGTTGACAGGAAATAAATCGAGTGCCTTGTTACCTTAAGTACCTAGCATTACTATCTTTAGGTTAATCGAAATTTTAATATGTTCGTTGAAGGGAGTAGAGGTTGCGTGTTCAAGTCGACTCTCGACGCTCTTCTTGCAATTGACAATGAATTAATTCATGGGAGGATTAACTTGACCATGAACAACAGTTCTGCATATCAATGTTCTTTTGTGCGGCGTTGACGCAATGAACATACCGTTTCCTACTGAAGCTCTTATTAGGGGCTTCACTTATCGGTTCATTTTAAATGTGAGCCTGTAAAATGTAATTTCAGTAGGCAAAGCGCTTAACTTTTGACAGGTAAATATAACTTTTGTTTATATTTGCGTGAAGAATTCCTGTTAGCCAGCCACAACCTGCAGTATTTGAAGAATGTGTCAACTTGCCAAATGTAAACGCTTGAATATCGCTTTATGAGATTGTATGAAAAACAGGCTTGCCTTGTTTCAGGGTAATCCATGTTTAGGCCGGTTTCAACATGGTCATATATGCTAAAATACTTTTTTAATGGATTACCCAACGGATGATTGTCAGTGTAAGTTAAGAATTAACTAGTACACCGTTCATATTTTAGTCCAGTTTTTTACATGCTACCGAGGTTTTTGTTCGACCAGTATATAATATTCATGGTTATCGGATTATCAAGTGACAGGTGCTTGTTTTGAAATGAAAAATTAGAAAGAATGATTTGTTTGGGTTTTTATGGCTACTGCCTCCATAAAGAGGGGAAGCCACACATGTTGTCAAAATGAGTGTGTGAGTTGGTGTTCTTGAATCATCTTCCTCTTCTGGAACATATAGATATGGGATGGGGCAGTCTGTTTTTCTGTTTTGCATTTAATAATAAAAGAATAAGTGATAAGAAAGACACTCATAGAGCAGTGTCCACTAATTGATCAAAGTGCTGTACAACAATAGTTAAACTATAAAATACAAAATATAATAGCTATTATTAAAATCTGGATCATTGGATAATGCAATTCAAGACTTTTTATTGGCTTAGCCATTATGGTATATGAGCCATTATACCATAATCTAATATCTGTACATTGTAACATCCGGTTTCTTCTTACAAAATAAAGTCGAGAAGATTTTTCTAATATCTTGGGGGCATTTTTTTTAATAAAACAATTATTCCACTCGCGCTTGTTGGATATGAGATGATTATAGCCAATGAGGTGCATAG